TCTGCCGTATTCTGCTGTTTTGTCCTGCGCCGATATTTATGGTAGCAATATTGTTACACTTATAACTGGTAACAATATTGCTAGCAAAAATGGTATTCTGAATAGGTCTGTATAAGGATAATCTTAATCTTATACGCGCGAACAATCATTGCTTACCAGACATCTGAAGTTGGGTAGATAACACGTGCAATGTTGCCAGAGTAACTTAAATGTCATCAAAACAAAGAAAAGAAATATTTCTTCTATGGTACATTAATTCTATTTCTAAAAATACATTACAGTAATTAAGTAAATATAGTTATGTAATAATTATGTGGTATCAGTATGGTATATTAGAATGATATTTTAATTTATTACCACCATTAATTAAGCAAGCAGTGGCGTTTCCTCATTATTAATAGAGAACGTGACAACATCGACACTGATCTACCAACACCAACCATAACCTTACTAATTTTATTTAAGTTTTATGTGGAAAATTGTGGAAGTACATTTTTCTTCATTGTGTTCTTCATATTTGTTTTTAATTTAGTTAATAAGATGGATAATCAAAAGAGAAATAAAAGAACAACTAGGGACCAAATGATAATTATAATAAATTATATTAATATAAACAAAATTTTAATAACTGGCAAATGCCATCCTCTCAAAGCTAAGGAATTGGAAGAAAAATGGGACGAACTTGTAAATATGCTTAACACAGTAGAGAATGGAGCCAGAAAAGATAAAAAACAGTGGAAACATGTAAGTATGATCAGTGATAATGTAAATTAAGTGTACCTACCTATATTTTTCATAAATTTTTGTCGACAGTTTCTAGCAGAATGGAAGTCAAAAGTAAAAAAGAAAGCGAGAATGGTGAAAGATTCACTGAAAAAAACTGGCGGTGGAAGTGGATTAACGGAACTGAGTGATATAGAAAGTATGTTAATGGATGTAATAGGCTGGGTATCAGTAACTGGTTGTCATGAACTACCACTTGAAACAGACCCCAACGAAGAGATTATTGAACTGGAATTTCAAGGAGATATGAGGGAAAATTTAGAAAATATAGAACTAGGAACTACTGAAGTTGAGCCAAATAAAACGCTAGATTATGAAACGGTAGAAGCTGCAGAAATAACAGCAGAGTCCACAACTCCTATTCAAACCAAAATAAAAAATAAAAAAGGTGAAAATCTTTCATATACCGTTCATGTTTCCCATCTATATACGAGTACAATTTAACTTATTACCTAAGTTAATTAAAAACTTGATGAACTACTTTTAAAAATATATCTATACGTAATTGAAAATGTATGTTTTAGCTGTTTATACAACTATGAAGACTAACAAAGTGAGAAGGGCAGGTATAAAACAAACATCAAATGTAGGAGGAAGTTCGCTACTACAGCAGTCTGCAGAAGTGTTTGCTGAAAGCAACAAATGTATGGCGGAAGCTGTAAAAGAAATGGCTTCCAGCGTTTCAGAATTAGCTGTGGCTTTGGCATCAATTGCAGAAGCATTGAAATGTTTGGCACATAAGAAAGGGGAAACCTGTGCTTAAATAAGTATTTGTTTTACTTACCATCATTAGATTTTGTATAGCAATAAATGTTTTTTATATTTGTTTGAGTAAAATAAAACAAAAAGTTTAGTAAGTATTTTTATTAATATCAGAAACTTCATTTAAAATATCCAAATTAAACTCCATCTAGACCTATATGCAATTTATAACTCACTTAAGTCGTTTACAAGTTGTCTTCTGATTAAACGGCCTTCTGTTAAAGTATTGATCCCTAAATTTATTTTTTTTTACATACTAAGATATAATGCAGAATAAAAACTTACCACCCACTACTGGGTTTATTTCTTCATCGCCTTCCTCATCATCTTCGTTATCTTCATATTCTACTTCTGGTAAGTCATATTGTTTACATAAATTATGTAAAACTATGCATGCATATATAATTTTACCAGCCGCAGCATGACTATAGTGTAATGTCCTATGTTTCAACAAACACCTGAAACGACTTTTTAGTGATCCAAAGGCTCTTTCTACTACATTTCTAGCTCTACAATGTAGCTGGGTATATAAAGCTTCTGGACTATTTGGCAAAGCATCATTGATAGGCGTCATCATCCATGGCTGTATGGGGTAGCCCGAATCGCCTATTAACCAAGTTTTTCTATCTCCATTTTGGTAACGTCTTGATAAATTTAAATTTATATTTGACACTTCCCATATAGCTGCATCATGTGTTGCTCCCGGATATCGAGCATTGACATTTAAAAAAATCATATTTGAATCACATATCTACAATATACAAAACATAAATAAAAATAAGTTAATATTTTTCACAATTACCGCTTGTAGATTAATACTATGAAAACCTTTACGATTTAATTATGTAATTGATGGAGCATGGTTCTCATCTACGGGTGAAATAATTGAGATATGCGTACAGTCTATGGCTCCAATTGTATTGGGAAAACCAAATTTATCCATAAATCTGCAANTAGTTTTTTCATCTTCGCACCACAAGAACTCAAAAATAATTATGAGAAATTAAAAAATGTCAATGAAATAATTGTTCGATTTGACAAAACAGGTAGAAGTTTCATACGATTGACCGGCAACAGCAATACAAACAACTCTCTGTAATCTATGATACAAACTTAATGTAGTTCGATATACTCCTAATAACTTTCAGAGGGCGGTACTTCACTCACAACCAGTCGTTATGACTAATATCACAACAGGTAAGCATGGTCAGAAGTCCATCATTGGACATTGAGCGGTCAGTTTTTAAGATTAATCAAGATCGAATTTTTTATAAGCGTAAGAAAAATATTAGGATTAAGACTAAGATTAGAACTTAAAGATTTTGGTAAAGTTACGTCTAAGCTAAGACTAATTAAGACCTTTTTATAAGTTCATTAGTTTGTATCATTGAAATTTAGTAAAGTTGGATACATTTAGATTGATTGAATAAAACATAAAAAGGGGAGACACTTTATGTTTTAGCTCTAAAAATGCATCTATATTTATAAAATATTAATCATTTATTTGTTTATTTGAATAGTTTATTGTGTATTGCCATTACTCTTTAAAAATATAGGAAGTGTAGTTAGTATATGCAACCAACTGAACTGAACATCGTTTAGTTGGTTGCATAAGTAATTCTGAAGAAAAAGGTATATTCAGCCGTATTCTGTTAGTAAAATAATTCATTTAACAATAATATTCATTGCTATCTCAAATATTGACCTTGAACCTAACAATGATTGTTACAATCTGTATTCCGTTAACAAGTTTTAACAATCTTCTTAAAGATATGTTGTTAAAGATTATTGTTATGATAGCAACAAGATTTGAGTAGTTGTTAAAATGTTGCTAAGAAGTTGAATTTGCCAAATGAAGAAGATGGATCCTGTGGCATTTAATTTTATTGTAAATTTTATTGGTAATTTTGAAAATATGAATAAACAGTAAGTACTTATGTTCATATATAAATACATATCTTTCATTCTTTTTTTTTCCACAGACAAAAACTGAAATTATATCGGAGAAATTTGAGAGATGCCTCTAATCCATTTGAACTCCCAGATTTTAATTTTGTTAAGTTATTTAGATTAAATAAACATCTTACGAGAAGACTAATTATGGAGTTACAACAGTTTGAGGATCAGAGACCGAAACGAATCGACTGTTCCTTTTTTTTTACAGGTAAGTATTCCTACATATAGTAGTATAATATAGATTTAGTAAAATAATTATTTTTTATATTTGTAAGGTACTAATCCGTTTAAATTTCTACGGACATGGAAGTTACCAATTATGTATTGGAGAGGATTTAAATTTAGGTGTAAGTCAACCAATGGTGAGCAGGATTTTAGCAAAAATAAGTAACATTTTTGCATTTCATTTGCTCCCTAGATATGTAAAATTCCCTGTAACAGTACAACATATTTTAGAAGTAAAGCAAGGGTAAGAATATAAAAAAAAAATTATATGGGTAGTGGAAATCTTTTTAATTTTTGCAGATTTATGGATAAATTTGGTTTTCCCAATACAATTGGAGCCATAGACTGTACGCATATCTCAATTATTTCACCCGTAGATGAGAACCATGCTCCATCAATTACATAATTAAATCGTAAAGGTTTTCATAGTATTAATCTACAAGCGGTAATTGTGAAAAATATTAACTTATTTTTATTTATGTTTTGTATATTGTAGATATGTGATTCAAATATGATTTTTTTAAATGTCAATGCTCGATATCCGGGAGCAACACATGATGCAGCTATATGGGAAGTGTCAAATATAAATTTAAATTTATCAAGACGTTACCAAAATGGAGATAGAAAAACTTGGTTAATAGGCGATTCGGGCTACCCCATACAGCCATGGATGATGACGCCTATCAATGATGCTTTGCCAAATAGTCCAGAAGCTTTATATACCCAGCTACATTGTAGAGCTAGAAATGTAGTAGAAAGAGCCTTTGGATCACTAAAAAGTCGTTTCAGGTGTTTGTTGAAACATAGGACATTACACTATAGTCATGCTGCGGCTGGTAAAATTATATATGCATGCATAGTTTTACATAATTTATGTAAACAATATGACTTACCAGAAGTAGAATATGAAGATAACGAAGATGATGAGGAAGGCGATGAAGAAATAAACCCAGTAGTGGGTGGTAAGTTTTTATTCTGCATTATATCTTAGTATGTAAAAAAAAATAAATTTAGGGATCAATACTTTAACAGAAGGCCGTTTAATCAGAAGACAACTTGTAAACGACTTAAG